ATGTGATCTCTGGTTAGCATCAGAATTAAGTAGGGTGTAAGTACAGATGCATTCTCTTTGAGTTGTCTTTTTGTTATGAAGTGTAGAGCAATCTTTCACAGCAAAATTTAAAATTTGGAATGTGGGGACAGCCTTTGCAAAATATTGTAGTAACTGCTAATTAGCAGATGAAGAAGGTAACAACCTTCACTAAAACCTGTTTCATCCTATTTAAAAGACCTTTTACTTGCTAAATACTACAAAATAGTTACTGATTAAGTTCTAAGCGAAGATTTAAGCCCCACAACATGGGGCTTATTTGCAGATATAACAGGTAAAGATTTGCCTCATATTTACAGAGATTTTACCATCATTAGCTAGGACTGCTCTGCCAAGCACTCTGACTCTAAACCTCCTACTCCCTGCTGGTCCCACATCCTCCATCACTACACATGCAGAATTAGGGTATAATATGTTCCTTGAGAAACTTGTACACTTCATTTTCAGCAAAAAGTGTAGGAAATAGAGTGCTCATCATGATGTCAGAGAAAGATGGATAATTTTTTCTCGCCAGATCAATAGTCTGTTTAAAAAAGCAGTTTCATCGACCAATTTAGACAAATTTATTTGCAAATTGAGAACATACACTTCATTTTCAGCAAAAAGCGTAGGAAATAGAGAGTGCTCACCATGATGTCAGAGAAAGATGGATAATTTCTCTCGCCAGATCAATAGTCTGTTTGTTTAAAAAAGCAGTTTCATCGACTAATTTAGACAAATTTATTTGCAAATTGAGAAGGATTCAGACTGATAGTTTCAGCTGAGTGAAAGGAAAAAAACCCTTCCATTTGCCCATGAAGACAGTGGTTAAAGCGTCCTTCCAACCTATGCAGATCCAGATTCAAATTTTCATCTGCCCAATTCATGCATGCTGGTTTCCTTAATTTAGCCCTTTATTTTAATCAAAAATTTCTGAAAAGGAGCAAAACTATTTCTTTCAAGTCAATTTACAACAGTATTTAAGTGTCTAGTAGACAAAGAGATTTGCACAGTCAGAGGATACAAACATGCTCATTTTCCCATCTGCTTCATGCTTGAATCTTCCTACAACTGGTGATAGGCAAACAGTTTTCCACTAGCAAATCTTTCTGTTAAGTCTGCATATTGTCTTTCTGAATAATTTTCACTAGAATCTCTGAATTGTAACTGAATTTAATGTTTAGCTCTCTTAAATATACAACAGTTAATTAAGTAATCAAGTTTTGCAGGTTTTTTTGAAAAGCGAGCAACCCCCATTAGCAACCAGATTAGATGCTGAGTCTCTTGACCTAGGCAAGGACATGACCACTACCATGCCTTTATGGGAACACAGCTTCATGATCAGGGTAAAGCAAGGGGATACCTACTCCAGACACTGCTTTTCCTTCCAGACCACAGAAACAATGTAGGGTAGAGCCACTTAACGTGAAAGTGAATGAAGGACAGTAACGAAGAGGGCTGCTGCTAAGATGTGCAAACTGGGTTGTCCCAGCCAAGTAGACAGCACGTGGAAGCACTGAAGAAAGCTGCAGCAACATTCATGCAATTCAACACAGCAACAAATTGTCTAAAAGTCTTTCGGAGGGTGAACCAGGTTAACAACACATTCGAATAGTTGGAGAAGATAGCAACATGTGATTGAGGCCTCATATTCTCACGTTGCTCAAATTTGATGAAGTTTGCATACAGTAGCAATTCAAAGTCTTACTGGACTACCACATTATCACCAGATCTGCAGAACTTATTCTCTGCTGCATACAGTAGCAGTTCAAAGTCTTACTGGACTACCACGTTATCACCAGATCTGCAGAACTTATTCTCTGTACCTGGATGATGGGGACATTACTGCCAGGTACTTTGTGCAGTTACATAAATGAGTTTACATGAGATTTGCACTGAAAAGATGTTGTACAAGATCCCACTGCTTTTTGCATCTGTTCCTCTGCACTCTTATGAAAATAAATACAGAGAACATCTAGAAAAATACAAATAAAACTAAGCCAAGGGCCAGACTGCACACAGTCAAAAAGGAAAAATACATCTAATTATGTACAAGGTTGCTATGACCACAGGGAAAAATGCCAATATATTTTCAGAGCTTGGCCCCACTTCTGGCTTGGCCCTCCATTTGGCTCATCTTTATTCATGAACAAATCTGGTGAAAAAAATTTTCATGAAATATTTTTTCATGATGAAAAGATGCTATTTTTATTGAAGTGCTCTGCAAACATGCTGATTTTCGTGAAAAATTCCAGCAAGAGGAATAAAAGGATGAAATAGCTTTCAGTCAAGAATTTATGCTTTGGAAAACTTATTTTGCTCAGGAATTTCGACATTTGACTTCAAATTTACTTCTTCTTTTATTTAACTAATTGCACAGCAGATCATTAGCAGTGGTGCATGTTGCTTTATCCTTGACATGTTATGACATGAGATAAATTTTGTGTCAGTTTGTTTAATTTCTACATAAAAGGTATTTTGACCTAGAAAAGAAATTAGGTGTGTATGCTAATAATAAATAGCAGCTGACATTAACTATCCTTTTAAACTACGTCTAATACTGTATATAAATAACTGTATTATTCATAACTATTGTCATTATGAGGTACTGTGGAAAAACTGTCTAGGAAGATAAAAATTGAAATTTTCTAAAACAAATGTTAGAAGAAGTTTCTCAGAAGCCTGCAGTGAAAGTTCCCTAAAGCCACAGCAGTTTCTGTCCAGCTGACTTTTTTAAAGTGTTTGCTGTCATTCCCGATGTGAAAGCTGAATCCTAAAGTGCTCGCATGCCTTACGAAACAAAACCCACCTTGAGGCATCATAGGCTTAGTCAACAGTAGGAAGTTTCTTGTCATCTCCAAGTATTAATGGATCTAAATTACAACACATTCAGCTGAGGTTAATTCCGTGTGCCTGCTGGCAGCACACCTTGCTACCAGGGGCAATGGGGATGCTGCTCTTCCCCTAAGGTTCACCATCACGGGTGGGTGATGCTGCTGGTCCGTGTCAGAGCGTGGTGTACCTCAGAGGTGCAGGACCAGCAGCACATCTGCTGAGATACATGCCTCCGTTTCACAGATTCTGCCCTGCTTTTGTGCGTATGGACAACACAGAAGAAAGCTCGCAGGGTGGGGGATGGAACCCTCTTCACCCGACCCTAAAGGTTAGACCTTGAAAACACATGAGTATGCGGAAATTGATTTTTTTCTTTTTTTTTTTTTTTGTAAACAATGCAGTTCTAGGGGTAACAGATACAGAAAATATTTGAAAACATGAACCCAAACAACCTAGAGTACCACGCAGTGATTTGGAAATGTTCGTTCATGGTCTGTGCTGGTTTGGGATGGTGAATACAGCTTGGGATCGAGCAGGGGGAGAGCTGTTGAGGGAGGGAGGGAGGGAGGGAGGGCTCAGCACAGCCAGAGCCCAAAGGTCAGAAATACATTAGCAAGGATGAAGAAAGTACAAGTGGGAGTTAGCAGCTGGACAGAGTCCTGCTTTCTTTGCGCAGCAGCCCACAGCAGCCAGTGGAACCTGTGAAGTCTTTGTCCACTTCACACCAAGCAGACCCACTTCGCTCAGGCAGATTTTGGGAGTTACCAGCAGGACAGTCATGTACGTGGCTGGTTTATGCAGCCTCTACCCTCAGTAACTCACCCCTCAGCACAACCTTGCCCTCCCCACTGCTCTGGTCCCAAACAAGAGATACGGTGCACGTTCAACCAAGTACTCTCCTTCCCTGCAAAAGCTACACACTGCCTCTCTCCACAAAGTGCTGGGTGCTGCTGCCTGCTACAGAGCTGCTTGTAAGCAGGCTCTGCCTCACCTTCACAGGGAGAGGAGAGAGAAGGTAAGGGAAACAGGGAAGTGTGGTCTCCAGTCCTCGCAGAGCCCTTCCCAGGGGCTGTAAGGATGCTAACACTGCTGAGAACTAGGCAATGGTGTGACACCTTCCCAGGTGGCTGTGGCTGCCGAAGGGCATGAGCCAGCCCCAAGTACGTGAGCAAGGCACAGCAGGGCTGCACTGTGCCTCTGCAGCTCTCCAGTGCTTGTGCCAAACAGAAAACACACTGGAAAACCTCTGTAACACTTTCCACAAGTATCAGTGTGCCTTATCTTATTTTTGGTATATGTCAGTGGCTCCCTGCCACACGCAGGCATACGCGCACAGGCAGAGTGCAGCCGTCTCCACGGAGTAACCTCTCACAAGAAGCAGCTTTCATAGATGAAACGTCTCATCTGTGAGGATGGGACTAATCAGTAAAGGGACACGTGTGCACTCGCACTTTGCCTGTATTTCTCCAAAAGCACATCTATTGTCAACTGTTCCGGGCATTTGTCATCATTAAAACAGCTTTAAAATTCTTCTGAAAAACAGATGATGTTTCTCAAACACACAGCCGAAAATTGAAAACTCAGGGTTGGATTCATCTTACTTAATTTGAGAGGCCTCTGCCGAAGTCCCCCCCCAGAGCTGGTTGCTGAAGAAGTTAGTCATTCTGAGGGTATGATTCATCTACCTAAATGTAAATGCCTTTCGGACGGCATGAATCCAGTAGATCTCACTGATCATCCCTCAACTGATGCAGCCGCAGCCCCGGTGCCCTCCGAGACATCCAGGTCAGAGGACACCTCTCTCACCACATCAATGACTGATGACCAAGATACCACGCACCCTCTCCATCGATGCCTTTGCAGCGGGCTACTAAAGCCTTTCGCTTGGGCAGCAGCAGGACTTGCCACGGGAGATGCCAAAACGCGAGAGGGACATGACCAAGTTACGGCAGAAACGCCGTGGTGGGCTAGCGGAGAGCAGAGGGGAGGCAAACAGATGCTACAGCTGCTGTCCCCGCGCCTGACACCAACACGTGTGTTTCCCCCCCACCACCAATACCCCTCTAACCCACCCAGGGGATCAAACCCCGAACGGTGGCCACGCGTGTCCCCCCGGCGGCTCCGTGTCCCCACCCCGCGGCGCTCACCTGAAGCAGGTGGTGAGCTCGCCCGTGGGCTTCAGGCAGGGGTACCGGGTGGTGGCGATTTTGTTCTCGGAGCAAACCTCCCTGCAAGGCGGGGAGTGGGATTATTAACGGGAAAAAAAAAAAAAAAAAGAAAAAGGGAGAGCAAAGAAGAAAAAAAAAAAATGGTGGTGGTGGGTGTGTGGGGGGGAGGAAAGGAAGAGAAAGAGGAGCACGGGGG